AAACATCGCCACGTGAAAGTGCAAGCATAATCGTTACACAAACTACACTGATTCCCATCACCCCCCCCCTCCCTCTGTATTTCGCGGTAAAGTTTACCTGTTTGCTTTTGACTTGGTAATCACCGGGGATGAATAATTTGCATTTTTGGGAGCATTGCTTATTTCTAATTTGCCCAGATTTAACACGCCTAGTGAAGTTCATTCATGCCATGCTGAATATTTGCATTATTTCTATTCCTCCAGACCACAACTTCAGTAAATGTACTTGAACAACGTCTGGGTGGCATCACCACACCGTTCACGTCTCAGGCGCAGCAGATGGACATTGATATGAAGAAAATCGGTGAAGCTCGAACCTCGCTAATGGACATCCGACTGACACAGGTGAGCACCCTGTTCCCATTTGCATCAATAATCATGATGTTCTAGGTATCTTATTTCTATCTCAGAAATTCTTCCACCATTTATTAACATCCGCACTGTGTCTTGTATTTCAGGTTTCTGACAGCGTTTCTGGCCAAACTGTGGTGGATCCCAAAGGTTATCTAACCGATCTGCAATCGATGATTCCGCAGCACGGTGGTGACATAAACGACATGAAGAAAGCTCGGCTTTTGTTAAAATCCGTGCGTGAGACGAATCCGAAACATCCTCCTGCTTGGATTGCATCAGCTCGATTAGAAGAGATTGCAGGAAAGCTGCAAGTAGGCCACTTTTTCTATTTCTTTAATACTGTCGTTCGATCCTCTCATACGTTGTGCACTTGACCTTTTGTGATGTATCCGATAGGGTGCACCTGCAATGGGCACTTGGATGTGCTGGCTGTTCGAATTAGGTACGGCCATTTCGATTCCGTAGTGATGGATTGTTCACATGGCGGTGCGCGCGCATTACCTTTGTTTAAGAGTTCACAATCTAACAAGTGACGTGAACTCGTAACCTCGTGTTAAAGTTTCCAGCTCGTATTTAGATCACCCTGATCATTATGAGGAAATGTCGCGGCGACGCATCGTTTCCTTGGGAAGCCGTAGCATGATCAGTACGCTTTGTGGAGAAGATAGAGAACCACTGGGTATATTGTGTGTGCAGAGCACCACAAGCTACTTTGATTGAGGACAGTGAACGGCTTGAAATCATGCAAGCCTTCCTTCCGAAGTTCCAGAAATTCATAATAGTTGTAGACTTCAATGTCCCAGAGATCGACTGAATGGAAGTACGTGTAAATAGCGGGTCTATCGGCGAAACTCTACTCGAAGTGATACACTCACGCGTTGACGCAACACGTTATATAGGCATTACTATTCAGGGATAAACAGAGGCCCTTCACCCCGGACCCGGTTAGGGTTTTCATACCCTCATGCCAGGTCTTAGCTTGAACACCCTTCGTTATTTTCCAATCGCTACCAGCCTTGGCAAACATCGTTCGCCGTGGCAACCTATCTGGTGACATGCGTAGCACATGTCCCAACCAGCGTAATCTATGGAGGTCGATCACTTTCTCTAGTGGACGACCGCGACTGCCTAAAACTCTACGCCTAACCTCAGCATTGCTCGTCCGGTTACCTCACCAGACACGTGCAATGCTACGTAGACAGCGTTGTTCGAACACCGACAATCTATTTTTATCCTGTTCCTTTAGTAGCCAAGTCTCTGCACCGTAGAGCAGGACTGGCCGAACTGTTGCAGCATACACTCGACCCTTCACAGACAGCCGGATGT